CGATTCGGTCAATAAATCCGCTGGGATAAACAGAAAAACAACCCAACCATCAGCATAGGTAAATATAACGCGTGTGCAAGCTTCAGAATGGCATGCAATAAACGTAGCTCCAGCTTGTCTTTGGCACTGCCTCCAAGATCGAGAAGCGTCGAAGGACCATACTCCAAGCACATATCAACCAGGAATTGGTGCAAGAATTTCTCTGCTATGGGGATAATGTCGTTCATTTTGCTACTGTTCGAGGATTCTCTTGGTAAAGAGACGGCCTCTATTGCATTGACCAGCTCATCCTCTCCCCAAGGGTGGCATTCCATCATTTGATCATTATTCCAAATAAATGGAGTCGATGGAGTTTTTCGGTCTTCGATCTGTTCATCTACTTCAATAGGAAGATCTTGAGTCTGAACATCTCTAAACAGATTGATGAATGATGCATAGGCATTATAGCTAGAAAAAGCGCTGCGTAGGTACCAGAGGTTGTTCTCTGTATTTTCTCTTTGCTGGGATGCTTCTTTGAGAAATCGACCCAGTGAAGATACCACCGTGAGCTTCGATTGAGCAGACAGGACAGTGACCGATGTGTTGACAACATCTGATAATGATATGAGTCCAATTTCTATCCATTATTCACCACAAATGCCCACCACTTTCGCTTCTTGACGAAGTGCTAACCAATAAGCCCAGATATCCATTGAGAACCCTTTCTCCATGTCCACTGGATCCTTGGGAGACTACTACTTCTGGAATGACATCCAATAGTAGCTCTAGCACTTTGATAGCATCTACCCGAATCTCTGGGAAGATATGAGTTTGTGCTGAGGTTGTAAAAAGCATTAGAACAGATGCGTGTGGAAGGATGAAATGCTGCTCAGACTTTCAGGGTGACTTGATCATTCTGTTTTCACGAAGCGTACCTTTTGCAAACGATGGAGATACCAGTCTAGGAAATCGATTAAAGCTCGTCGGACGGAGGCGTCCTCGTTACCGTTGAGTCAAAACTGTATGGTGCACATAGGTATGACTCACTTCATCTGCAGTCAATTTACAGCACCCGGATATAACCTGAGATGTAGTGGAATTCAAGAGGTCTTGATGGGCTGAGAGGAGCTCCCTTAAACCAAAAAGGGCATCTGTGATTGTTTTATGAGAGTTGAATGGTTGCAAGGGCATTGATTACCTTTTCTAGAACTACAAGAGTAATGGTGGAGCAATGAAAG